TTCCTCCTCCACACTAAGACAGTAGACACTAGATTTCCTCCTCCACACTGAGACAGTAGACACTAGATTTCCTCCTCCACACTAAGACAGTAGACACTAGATTTCCTCCTCCACACTGAGAGAGTAGACACTAGATTTCCTCCTCCACACTAAGACAGTAGACACTAGATTTCCTCCTCCACACTGAGACAGTAGACGCTAGATTTCCCCCTCCACACTGAGACAGTAGAGTCTAGATTTCCTCCTCCACACTGCGACAGTAGACACTAGATTTCCTCCTCCACACTGAGACAGTAGACACTGGATTTCCTCCTCCACACTGAGACAGTAGACACTAGATTTCCTCCTCCACACTAAGACAGTAGACACTAGATTTCCTCCTCCACACTGCGACAGTAGACACTAGATTTCCCCTTCCACACTGCGACAGTAGAGTCTAGATTTCCTCCTCCACACTGAGACAGTAGACACTGGATTTCCTCCTCCACACTGCGACAGTAGACACTAGATTTCTTCCTCCACACTGAGACAGTAGACACTAGATTTCCTCCTCCACACTGAGACAGTAGACACTAGATATCCTCCACCACACTGAGACAGTAGACACTAGATTTCCTCCTCCACACTGAGACAGTAGACACTGGATTTCCTCCTCCACACTGAGACAGTAGACACTAGATTTCCTCCTCCACACTAAGACAGTAGACACTAGATTTCCTCCTCCACACTGCGACAGTAGACACTAGATTTCCCCTTCCACACTGCGACAGTAGAGTCTAGATTTCCTCCTCCACACTGAGACAGTAGACACTGGATTTCCTCCTCCACACTGCGACAGTAGACACTAGATTTCTTCCTCCACACTAAGACAGTAGACACTAGATTTCCTCCTCCACACTGAGACAGTAGACACTAGATATCCTCCACCACACTGAGACAGTAGACACTAGATTTCCTCCTCCACACTGAGACAGTAGACACTAGATTTCCTCCTTCACACTAAGACAGTAGAGTCTAGATTTCCTCCTCCACACTAAGACAGTAGACGCTAGATTTCCCCCTCCACACTGAGACAGTAGAGTCTAGATTCCCCCCTCCACACTGAGACAGTAGACACTAGATTTCCCCCTCCACACTAAGACAGTAGACACTAGAGTTCCTCCTCCACACTGAGACAGTAGACACTAGATTTCCTCCTCCACACTAAGACAGTAGACACTAGATTTCCTCCTCCACACTAAGACAGTAGACACTAGATTTCCTCCTCCACACTGAGACAGTAGACACTAGATTTCCTCCTCCACACTGAGACAGTAGACACTAGATTTCCTCCTCCACACTGAGAGAGTAGACACTAGATTTCCTCCTCCACACTAAGACAGTAGACACTAGATTTGCTCCTCCACACTGAGACAGTAGACGCTAGATTTCCCCCTCCACACTGAGACAGTAGAGTCTAGATTTCCTCCTCCACACTGAGACAGTAGACACTAGATATCCTCCACCACACTGAGACAGTAGACACTAGATTTCCTCCTCCACACTGAGACAGTAGAGTCTAGATTTCCTCCTCCACACTGAGACAGTAGACACTAGATTTCCTCCTCCACACTGAGACAGTAGACACTAGATTTCCTCCTCCACACTGCGACAGTAGACACTAGATTTCTTCCTCCACACTGAGACAGTAGACACTAGATTTCCTCCTCCACACTGAGACAGTAGACACTAGATTTCCCCCTCCACACTTAGACAGTAGACACTAGATTTCTTCCTCCACACTGAGACAGTAGACACTAGATTTCCTCCTCCACACTGAGACAGTAGACACTAGATTTCCTTCCTCCACACTGAGACAGTAGAGTCTAGATTTCCTCCTCCACACTGAGACAGTAGACACTAGATTTCCTTCTCCACACTGAGACAATAGACACTAGATTTCCTCCTCCACACTGAGACAGTAGACACTAGATTTCCTCCTCCACACTGAGACAGTAGACACTAGATTTCCTCCTCAACACTGAGACAGTAGACACTAGATTTCCCCCTCCACACTGCGACAGTAGACACTAGATTTCCTCCTCCACCCTGAGACAGTAGACACTAGATTTCCTCCTCCACACTGAGACAGTAGACACTGGATTTCCTCCTCCACACTAAGACAGTAGACACTAGATTTCCTCCTCCACACTAAGACAGTAGACACTAGATTTCCTCCTCCACACTTAGACAGTAGACACTAGATTTCCTCCTCCACACTGAGACAGTAGACACTAGATTTCCTCCTCCACACTTAGACAGTAGACACTAGATTTCCTCCTCCACACTGAGACAGTAGACACTGGATTTCCTCCTCCACACTGAGACAGTAGACGCTAGATTTCCTCCTCCACACTGCGACAGTAGACACTAGATTTCCTCCTCCACACTGAGACAGTAGACGCTAGATTTCCTCCTCCACACTGCGACAGTAGACACTAGATTTCCTCCTCCACACTAAGACAGTAGACACTAGATTTCCTCCTCCACACTGCGACAGTAGACACTAGATTTCCTCCTCCACACTTAGACAGTAGACACTAGATTTCCTCCTCCACACTGAGACAGTAGACACTAGATTTCCTCCTCCACACTGAGACAGTAGACACTAGATTTCCTCCTCCACACTGAGACAGTAGACACTGGATTTCCTCCTCCACACTGAGACAGTAGACGCTAGATTTCCTCCTCCACACTGCGACAGTAGACACTAGATTTCCTCCTCCACCCTGAGACAGTAGACACTAGATTTCCTCCTCCACACTGCGACAGTAGACACTAGATTTCCTCCTCCACCCTGAGACAGTAGACACTCTGGTTATCTCAGAACTCATCATGTCTTAGTGCATGTTGATGGACAAGTCTTTTCAAAACCATATTTTTCAAGATATATCTTTAGATATATTCTGTAGGGTTTGGAAAAATGCACCAACATCCCCTGCTTTGAATGTTTCAGTGAGATCAAAGAGTTACCTCCCTTCTAATCTCTTTCTATTACAAAACATTGACTGGTAATGCAGGAAGTAGGAAGATCTGTTCTTCAGAAGTTAAACATGTGTGAAAACCTACCATCAACCACTGGATCACCTGGCTGTTCATGCTATCAACCATTGGTTCATCTGGATGTTCATGCCATCAACCACTGGATCACCTGGCTGTTCATGCTATCAACCATTGGTTCACCTAGCTGTTCATGCTATCAACCACTGGTTCATCTGGGTGTTCATGCTATCAACCACTGGTTCATCTGGATGTTCATGCTATCAACCATTGGTTCACCTAGCTGTTCATGCTATCAACTACTGGTTCATCTGGATGTTCATGCTATCAACCAATGGTTCACTGGGTGTTCATGCTATCAGCCACTGGTTCATCTGGCTGTTCATGCTATCAACCACTGGATTGTCTGTTCATTCTGTCAACAACATGTTAACCTGGTTGATAATGTTCTCCGACACTGGTTTGTCTTGCTATCAAACACAATCAATAGTGGATGATTGGATAGCCTTGTGGTTGAAGAGCTGGTAAAATTTACAATGGGTGCAATGGGTGCAGTGACACAGAGATCTGCATATAGGTTAGACCCGGGAAATGTTATAAGTCAGTGGCAATTTTTAGTCAATAAGTCTGAAAGTTCAAAAAGATGAGGGCGGTCGGGTAGCCTAGTGGTTAAAGCGTTCGCTCGTCACGCCGAAGATCCGGGTTCGATTCCCGACATGGGTACAATGTGTGAAGCCCATATTGGTGTCCCCCGCCGTGATATTGCTGGAATATTGCTAAAAGCGGCGTAAAACCACACTCACTCACTCACTCACTCAAAAAGATGAACCATGACAACAAATCACTGCAATACCATTTGTGATTGGATGAATTTCTGATAAGAAAAGCGCTAGACTAAGTCACAACAGCTCTTGACAGTGTGTCCCTGTGATACAGGGAGTATGATGCAAAGACACACACTGCACAGAAATTTAATTACGATTTTTGATAGCTGTGCATTGTTCTATTAGATCGATCCTGTAAATTACTTCTTAAATTATGACACATGTGATGTCTTGTGTAGCATTTCTGTCTGTCAATAGTCCGACTAGTTGAACAAACCACCTGTCAAATTGAAATTTTATCGGTCTATGACCGTTGACTGACATCCATCAGAAACTCTGGGATGAAGTCAACTTTTGTGTCCTCTGCGTTGATATGACGGGAATATTGCTAACAGTTGTCCCCAGACTCACTTGGTGAATGTAACAGTCTACCCTTGAAGATCCAGGTGGAGAATAGGTCTTCAGCAACCCATGCTTGCCATAAAAGCTTGCATAGATCAATGCTCAAGATGTCAATCACTGGATTGTCTGGTCCAGACTCGATTATTTACAGACCGCCATCATATAGCTTGAATATTGCTGAGTGTGGCGTTACAAAACAAACAACATCAGTGTAACAACGACACTTCTGTAACTTGTGAATACAAGAATTTATCAATGGAAGAAAAAATTGAGAAATACGTGTTCAATGTCTGTGTTCGTTCCGATACTGCATGGCATAATTACTCCTCAGTTGAAGCATTGTTTGTTGAAGCAGTTATTGTTCCTGCAAGAGAGCATGCATAATTACTTGAATGTGAAAATCACTTAATTAGTTATTATTTCAAGATTAGGCCTCACTGCATGATGGGAAATAATCTTTTTATGAAATGTGTCATAAATCATATTTAAATTATTAAAATAAAGTTGTGAATGGTAATCATTAAGAATTCAGAACTCAGATCCAGTGAAACCTGTGATACTGTGTACAAGTTAGATCTACATATGCTATTGAAATATGTTAATTGATATATTTACCAGTAACCATTCTGTTTATGGAATATTTGTTTAATAAATGGAATATGCATGCCATTACTCGGTGAGATCAAATTGTAAAAACAAGGACTTTTAATTACATTTTTCCTTTCTTTCATTAAGTAGCGAGAAAAGCTTCGACAAATGAAACGATGTTCGTAAGTACTGCACTCAAGATATAAATACCCCAGCATGCAGCCTCTTTATAAACACGTCCCTCACGAAGGGACTTTTGTAAGGGAGATCGTGAAACTCAGGAAACTTTGCGATGTGAGATGATAAAAGCTAGAGGAAGCTAGAGGCAGCTAGAGGCTGTTCTGACATCCGGTATCAGACAACCAGAAGCAGTGTCATGACGGTGTGACTAGCTGCTCCATTCTGCAGTGTTAGTGATGTTGAGGAAGGTGCAAGGGAGATAACTGGTGATGTAGAGGAAGGTTTAGGGCAGATAACTGGTGATGTAAGATGTAGGGGAGATAACTGTTGATATAGAGGAAGGTGTAGGGAAGATAACTTGTGAGGTAGGGGAAGATGCAGGGGAGATAACTGTTGATGTAGAGGTATGATAGAGTGAGTGAGTGTGGTTTTACGCTGCTTTTAGCAATATTCCAGTAATATCACAGCTGGGGACACCAGAAATGGGCTTCACGAATTATATTGATGTAGAGGAAGGTGCAGGGGAGATAACTGGTGGTGTAGGGGAAGGTGCAGGGGAGATAACTGATGATGTAGAGGAAGGTGCAGGGGAGCTAACTGGTGATGTAGAGGAAGATGCAGGGGAGATAACTGGTGATGTAGAGGAAGGTGCAGGGGAGCTAACTGATGATGTAGAGGAAGATGCAGGGGAGATAACTGGTGGTGTAGGGGAAGGTGCAGGGGAGAGAACTGGTGATGTAGAGGAGTGAGTGAGTGAGTGAGTGTGGTTTCACGCTGCTTTTAGCAATATTCCAGCAATATCACAACGGGGGACCCTTGAAATGGGCTTCACACATTGTATCGATGTAGAGGAAATTCCAGGGGGGATGTATTCTCTAGGTGAAAGGGGAGATAACTGGGGATGTATTCACTAGATGAAAGGGGAGATAATTGGGGATGTAGACACTAGATGAAAGGGGAGATAACTGGGGATGTAGACACTAGTAAGCTCCTCACAGCAATAGCCAATTTGCTAAGCCCTCTATAATACTGCTGCCACCTGTCACAGCTATCTTTTGAGCTGGATGGCCTTCAACCATGCATGGAGTTATACTTGCAAGGGACGAACAAGTGAGGACTTTTCTTCCCCCAGCTAAATTGTTCCTTTGTTTGTCAATTTGAAAATCAATTTCGTTTAAAACTATAATGTAATTAGTTTTGTGAGATTGTTCGTTGAAAAATGGGTTCTTTCCTGTTTGAACCAGATTGGCACCTGATTGCCAGTTTGTTTAGGGTTTACCTCAGTTTTGTATGGCAGTGACAATTCAATGAACACATGTTCCAAAACAATAGAGCCACCTGGACACCTACAGGTGTTACAGATGTTAATTACTGCAGGTGTCTCAGTTGACAATTACTACATGTGTAGCAGGTGCTAATTACTACAGGTTTTTCAGATGCAAATTACTACAGGCTTTACAGAAGAAGGGAATAGTTCTGTCAGTGTGGGCATATGATAATAGTGTATATGTCATCCATATGTACCTGATCACATATATAACCTTAAGATACACTATTGCACCACACTGATATTGGACTTGACTGCATGAGTCTTTGTTGAAATCTCAAGTGTCTGTCTTCAGTGTAGATGGACTTGACTGCAAGGGTTATTGGTGGGATCTCTAGTTCCCTTCTTCAGTGTAGATGGACTTGACTGCAAGGGATATTGGTGGGATCTCTAGTTCCCTTCTTCAGTGAAGATGAACTTGACTGCAAGGGCTATTGGTGGGATCTCTAGTTCCCTTCTTCAGTGTAGGGACTTGACTGCAAGGGTTATTGTTGAGATCTCTAGTTCCCTTCTTCAGTGTAGATGGATTTGACTGCAAGGGCTATTGCTAAGATCTCTAGTACCCTTCTTCAGTGTAGATGGACTTGACTGCAAGGGTTATTGGTGGGATCTCTAGTACCCTTCTTCAGTGTAGATGGACTTGACTGCAAGGGTTATTGGTGGGATCTCTAGTTCCCTTCTTCAGTGTAGATGGACTTGACTGCAAGGGATATTGGTGGGATCTCTAGTTCCCTTCTTCAGTGAAGATGAACTTGACTGCAAGGGCTATTGGTGGGATCTCTAGTTCCCTTCTTCAGTGTAGGGACTTGACTGCAAGGGTTATTGTTGAGATCTCTAGTTCCCTTCTTCAGTGTAGATGGATTTGACTGCAAGGGCTATTGCTAAGATCTCTAGTACCCTTCTTCAGTGTAGATGGACTTGACTGCAAGGGTTATTGGTGGGATCTCTAGTACCCTTCTTCAGTGTAGATGGACTTGACTGCAAGGGCTATTGTGGGATCTCTAGTTCCCTTCTTCAGTGTAGATGGACTTGACTGCAAGGGCTATTGGTGGGATCTCTAGTTCCCTTCTTCAGTGTAGATGGACTTGACTGTAAGGGTTATTGTTGAGATCTCTAGTTCCCTTCTTCAGTGTAGATGGACTTGACTGCAAGGGCTATTGCTAAGATCTCTAGTACCCTTCTTCAGTGTAGATGGACTTGACTGCAAGGGTTATTGGTGGGATCTCTAGTACCCTTCTTCAGTGTAGATGGACTTGACTGCAAGGGCTATTGGTGGGATCTCTAGTTCCCTTCTTCAGTGTAGATGGACTTGACTGCAAGGGCTATTGGTGGGATCTCTAGTTCCCTTCTTCAGTGTAGATGAACTTGACTGCAAGGGCTATTGTGGGATCTCTAGTTCCCTTCTTCAGTGTAGATGGACTTGACTGCAAGGGTTATTGGTGAGATCTCTAGTTCCCTTCTTCAGTGTAGATGGACTTGACTGCAAGGGTTATTGTTGGGGTCTCTAGTACCCTTCTTCAGTGTAGATGAACTTGACTGCAAGGGCTATTGGTGGGATCTCTAGTTCCCTTCTTCAGTGTAGATGGACTTGACTGCAAGGGTTATTGTTGAGATCTCTAGTTCCCGTCTTCAGTGTAGATGGACTTGACTGCAAGGGTTATTGTTGAGATCTCTAGTTCCCGTCTTCAGTGTAGATGGACTTGACTGCAAGGGTTATTGTTGAGATCTCTAGTTCCCTTCTTCAGTGTAGTTGGACTTGACTGCAAGGGTTATTGGTGAGATCTCTAGTTCCCTTCTTCAGTGTAGAGGAACTTGACTGCAAGGGCTATTGGTGGGATCTCTAGTTCCCTTCTTCAGTGTAGATGGACTTGACTGCAAGGGTTATTGGTGGGATATCTAGTTCCCTTCTTCAGTGTAGATGAACTTGACTGCAAGCGTTATTGGTGGGATCTCTAGTACCCTTCTTCAGTGTAGATGGACTTGACTGCAAGGGCTATTGGTGGGATCTCTAGTACCCTTCTTCAGTGTAGATGAACTTGACTGCAGGGGCTATTGGTGGGATCTCTAGTTCCCTTCTTCAGTGTAGATGGACTTGACTGCAAGGGTTATTGTTGAGATCTCTAGTACCCTTCTTCAGTGTAGATGGACTTGACTGCAAGGGCTATTGGTAGGATCTCTAGTTCCCTTCTTCAGTGTAGATGGACTTGACTGCAAGGGCTATTGGTGGGATCTCTAGTTCCCTTCTTCAGCGTAGATGGACTTGATTGCAAGGGCTATTGGTGGGATCTCTAGTACCCTTCTTCAGTGTAGATGGACTTGACTGCAAGGGCTATTGGTGGGATCCCTAGTGCCTGTCTCCAGTGCAGTCAATTTGCACTGAGATCTCAAGTACATTGTGAGAGTTGTGAGTAAACAACACCTTGCTCAAGTATTAATTCTGTGGTCTAGGTCTGGATTTAGGATATTGAGGCTGGATCTGCATCTTGAGATTCCCCTTCGTCTAGTCTTGGGGGCACGGAGTTATTGTAATGGCAAGGGATGTGGATATAAGGTGGGACTACATAAGGGTTGAATCCAGGTGTGGTGTAGGTCCAGATAGGGCTGTGTTGGACAGCTGCATCTAATGTGGTGTTGAGGAGGTACATCTGAGTTTGAAATGAGTGACTGCCTGTTGATGGTTGACTGTTGGTGATGTGATCAGCGTAGATCAACACTTTATATCCTTCTGTTGTTTTATTTTTGTTTTATTGTCCTTTCAGTCCCTACCGGGCCACGACGGGGAGACATCCCTTGGGCTGTGAACTACAGTCGAAAGTAGGCACAGCCTTCCATAAGAACAGTCGACTGAAATGTGTCCATTGTGTGTGGAGCGCAGTGCCTGAATATCACGTTTAAGTTACCTGATGGCATTTTCTTAGGATTTCTGACATTGCATCAGTTCTGTTTCTTTACCGACATGATTTGTGGAGAAATCATATTCTACCTGATGTACATGACGGTTACTTGGAAGGTTGCCATGGTGATATGTGGCCACCAGTGAGAATGTGTTGAAAGTGACATTATGGTGCTGAAACTGATCTCTCGCTGTGTAGGTGTTGTAAGCCAGGCTCTGATTGGACAAGGTTCTGTTATCATCCAATGAGGATGACTGAGACAACTGGCTTTTGGAAGCTAGAGGCTGATACAACGCAGGTCGTCTATGAGAGTGTAGCTGTGTTATTGTTACAAGTCTTTCATTGTAATATTTCCCATTTCAGTGTCCATGCTTATGTTCTGTATACTGCTCACAGAAAGTTAAGGATAACTTAAAAGGAAGAAATATGTCACTAACATTCCTTTTGGAACTTCAGATATATTTGTTTTAATTAATTTCGGTAAAAAGTCAAAGAGTGATCTATACAAACCGTTGATTGTGTATGATTAGATGTAACTCCCCCAGTGTTTGCGCAAAGCCTGGAGGCATATGTCATCTGATTCTCCCTGTTTGGATACAAGGACATCGTCCTCTCCTGTGTCCTCTAAGGGTCCCTGCAAGGTCCTTCATTTCCTGTGAGCAGTAGACAATGTATGACTTGTTTACGACGTCACTGCACTATGTGATCTGTTGGTGACCACTCTCAGGCATAGAGATAAAGTCCATATTTGTTTGTGTAACAAATAATTTGCATTTTTCATGTTTGTTGAGTATGGATGTGTTTGTTTCCTTTATTTTTTACAGTGTTATTCTTTTGTTACCTCTCTGTCAATGTCCACCCTCCTCTTGAAGCCAGTCGGGTTTTGAACGTAGTCAGGAAGTATACAATATTGCACATACAGTGATTTAGTGGTAAAACATGCAATCTCAGGCGTTTGGAATAAGTCAGGTAAGATATACAATATCATATGTTTTGAATATGTATGGTTATATATACAATATCACACTTATGGAATAAGTCTGGTAAGATATAATATCACACGTGTGGAATAAATCTGATAAGATATAAACAAAATCACACATGTTGAATAAGATGTTATTTTTCACAATTTTGCATTTGTGCTTGCTAAATCATTTACATTTGAAACTTTTTCATAGGGGTGTTTTATGGATCACCCTTTCCAAAAGACCCGTAAATGTTTTAAAGATCAGTTCTTATAGACTACAGAATGACTTCACCGACTGTGATGGTAAGTGTTGATGAAGCTGCCATGATGATCTCCCAATGCTGGCTGTACCTCCGAACTTCCATCTGTCATTTCATCATTTGCCACACAAGATATTTTCATTTATTGTTTATATTTTCAAGATACCTCACTAAAGGTGTACATAATTTTTTTAAAGACTTTAGACTGTTTTCTTACCTTTGGAATTAATCTTTGGAATGTAGTCTGACACATCTGCATCAACTGAATGGCTGCAGCCAAAAATATCATCATGTCATTTTCCCTATTGTGAAGAAACAGAGCTATTTAGGCCAGTGTGCAGGTTTTCCTATTTAGGCCAGTCTGCAGGTTTTCCAATTTAGGCCAGTCTGCAGGTTTTCCTATTTAGGCCAGTCTGCAGGTTTTCCTATATAAGCGAGTCTGCAGGTTTTCCAATTTAGGCCAGTGTGCAGGTTTTCCTATTTAGGCCAGTCTGCAGGTTTTCCTATATAAGCGAGTCTGCAGGTTTTCCAATTTAGGCCAGTCTGCAGGTTTTCCTATTTAGGCCAGTCTGCAGGTTTTCCTATTTAAACGAGTCTGCAGGTTTTGTTGTGTGACATGGGTCATGATGATTGATGACGTGTGTCACATCAGAAACTTGTCACCTTCTAAAGGGGGAGTCTGTTACAGACAGATTAATCACCTGCCTTAAAATCTGTAAATCCTGGGATGATTCCGCAATTCTTTTCTCTTCTAAGCTAAGATAACAGTCCAATATATACCAGATCACAATAGACAGGCTTGAGAGATCTCACCTCATCGTCACTCTCATCTGTTCCATGTCATAGTTTATTTATTCCCTCCCCGTTTCTCTGTTCTACCTCAGCAGCAGGATGTGTCAAACTTACTCACTCACTCACTCATGGATCATGACCGCTGCCTCCCACACAAGCTTGAAATGAAGGACTAACATTGTTGGTGGTTTGGGTTTTGTAATCAGCAGTTAGTTGGTTAGCCTACAAGGGTTAAACACCCATAATGAGCCAGTGCCGTCACATAGTCTCATTGCCAGTGCCAATAATGCAGCCTAAAACATTCACTAAAACAGGATTTGTGGTTGGATGGAAAAGAGAGATCCGAGTGTGGATCCAGCATTTTTTTAAAAGGGAGGAGGCCAAAATATCAAAATCCCCTCTCTGTCAATTTACTGTCTGCAAGATACATTTGGTTTTCAAAAGGGGGGGGGGGGAGGTCCAGACCCTCTGGATTCCCCCTCTGAATCCACCCATGAAATCTTAGTGCTTTTGGAGCTGGACACCTGGATATGAGGGTGGCCACGTGCATTGGAATGTGAAAGTGAGCGCTAAGATTTGAGTTTGGGCTTTAAGAATTAACGATGGGCACTTTGATTTGAGGGTGGGCTCTAAGAATTAACGATAGGCACTTTGATTTGAGGGTGGGCTCTAAGAATTAACGATAGGCACTTTGATTTGAGGGTGGGCTCTAAGAATTAACGATAGGCACTTTGATTTGAGGGTGGGCTCTAAGAATTAACGATGGGCACTTTGATTTGAGGGTGGGCTCTAAGAATTAACGATAGGCACTTTGATTTGAGGGTGGGCACTAAGAATTAACGATGGGCACTTTGATTTAAGGATGGGCTCTAAGACTTGATGATGGGCACTTTGATTTGAGGGTGGGCTCTAAGAACTAACAATGGGCACTTTGATAAGGGACTAGGCACTTAGGTATGAGAGAGGGCACTCAGATATTAGCGCTATGTTTTTTTAATTGAAACCACAACAATTTTAGGCCATATTTCTTATTTATGAACTAAAACAGACAAAAGCACAAATGTTTTGACACATCCTTTTGAGCATCAGTTTACTTTTTTCTTTTGTTGTAGTTGTAAATTATATTGATGTAGGCATGGAGTGGGTTACACACAGCCATCAACAGGCAAGACAATGTCAGACAGATTCCAGCTAGGTTGCGATTTTCTTTTACGCTTTACGTTATTTCAGCAAATAAAACTGTTTTGTAAATTATTCCTCTGTATTGTTTCATATTCACATTTGTGCCATTAGGTTCTTGTCCTGTTTTGTTAAATAAAGCATAATAACTTTCATCCCTGTTGTCGACAGTCGCTGCTGTCACTGAGGTTCACTCAGCTCTGCTGTTGGACAACATAGCACGAAGGACTGCTGGCTTACTTGATCTTCAAACCTATTGAAATACGGTCATGCTTTTTGGCTTTTTTTAGAGATAATCTTTTGTGAAAAAAATGATTGAAATTAACATGAAAATAAAATAAAACCATTTTCATGAACCAGAATAAAATGTCAAATTTTTATATTAACTGTTCTTGAAAAAGCTTCAGCGTTTGCAATAAACTATTTAGGTAAATTGGCTTTCTTCAGAGATAATCTTTTGTGAAAAAAATGATTGAAATTAACATGAAAATAAAATAAAACCATTTTCATGAACCAGAATTAAATGTCAGATTTTTATATTAACTGTTCTTGAAATAGCTTCAGCGTTTGCAATAAACTATTTAGGTAATTTTGGCAGAACAATGACTTGTTACCGACTTAAACGTAATTGTTGCGTGTATAGTCCTTGTTGCTATTTACTAAGACATAAGCATATCACAGACATGTTGTTGATATATAAGAGATATATTGAGCCAGCTGTTGATTTAATGAAGGCGTTGGACCCAGACAGGTTGTACATATGTAGTTTATTCTGTGATTTTCGACATGGTATTCTATGGTTGCAGTACGTGTTTCCGCAAATCTGTTTTGCTCCCAGAGCAGTTAATGTCATATATTTTTTGTAGTTGGATTTATTAAATTGTTCATTACAGTATAGGAGATCCTCCCTACATCTTCATCCTTAACTATAGAAGTTGCTGTTGCAGAAACATTTGTGGTACAGTGTTATAACGTATAATTTTCCCGAAAAGTAAGTAAGACAGACGCGGAAAATGTGGAGTTAAACTGGGAATATATGATCAAGTGATGTTTCTAACACCAGAAATATGATCCCTTGATTTTACCAACTGGGAATATATGATCAAGTGATGTTTTTAACACCAGAAATATGATCCCTTGATTTTACCAACTGGGAATATATGATCCAGTGATGTTTTTAACACCAGAAATATGATCCTTTGATTTTACCAACTGGGAATATATGATCAAGTGATGTTATAAGCATTAGTAATAAGATCCCTTGATTTTACTGAACTGGGAACATGCAAGATAGAGATGAAACTAGAACTGGAAATGTATGCCCTACTTATGGATGTTAAGCTGCAGGGGTATCACTTGACGAGCGGACACAGATGTTTTGTTTATATAATTGACCGACTTCTTCGTTTGATTACATATTGTAAACTGTTGTTTGATGTTAACAGATGGTTCCATTCGGGCCAGTCTTGATAATCCATGGTGTTTTACCCCGATTCCATTGTGATAAATACCCAAGGGTGAAAAGATGGAATGGAGATTTAATACCCTAGATTAACGAGGATGGTGTTGTGTTTGATGTTCTGTCTACTAGATCCATTCTGTTCCCAGAGTGGTGCATCCATGATATTTGTACTGCAATATTTGTATTGTATCCCGTCTTGTCTGCATTAAACTTGTATAGCAAATTGTATTAATTAATTATCATATTTGTATTGTCACGTGCCATATGTTAATTCTACATATTGCATACTCACTTTGAATTATGCCATTAACATGAGTTACCATGGTTACTGTGCAATATGCAATCTTACCATTACTGGTAAACCATGTTTGTTAGAATTTTAACCCAGAATTGGATGTTCCAATATGTTGGAACATAGGTTTTGTACAGATTCAATTTTTAGGGTTTGAATTAAAACACAATTCAACATAAAAATTAACAATGGCAGTGTTTCTGCTTACAACGTGAGAACTCATCGTTAGTCCAGCTTGAGTCCTAATGTACGGAGATATATTTATTTGATGCAATATGATGTATTGTCATTACGATTACCAAGACGCTGCTTTAATTGTAGAATTCCTGTACTATACTGTGCTAGTCCTGTAGCAGCATGAGGAGGCGTAACAGCCACACCCACAATACTAGAGCCAGTGGCTAATAAATATGTTAAACATTTTCTCATTTTCTGTTTTGTCATTTTTGTGCTTGTACAGGCTACATTCACAGATGAACACTGAACTTGAAGATCACATTGAAAATATCACATATGTATTGAACTTGAATATCACATTGAAAATATCACATATGTATTGAACTTGAAGATCACATTGAAAATATCACATATGTATTGAACTTGAAGATCACATTGAAAATATTACATATGTATTGAGCTTGAAGATCACATTGAAAATATCACATATGTATTGAACTTGAAGATCACATTGAAAATATCACGTATGTATTGAACTTGAAGATGACATTGAAAATATCACATATGTATTGAACTTGAAGATCACATTGAAAATATCACATATGTATTGAACATAACATCCCATTGAAAATATTACATATGTATTGAACTTGAAGATCACATTGAAAATATCACATATGTATTGAACTTGAAGATCACATTGAAAATATCACATATGTATTGAACTTGAAGATCACATTGAAAATATCACATATGTATTGAACTTGAGGATCACATTGAAAATATCACATATGTATTGAACATGATGATGACTTTGAAAATATCACATATGTATCGAACATGAAGATCACATTGAAAATATCAAGTATGTATCGAACATGAAGATGACATTGAAAATATCACATATGTATCTAACATTAGAATGACATTGAAAATATCACATATGTATCTAACATGAAGATCACATTGAAAATATCACATATGTATTGAACTTGAAGATCACATTGAAAATATCACATATGTATTGAACTTGAAGATGACATTGAAAATATCACATATGTATTGAACTTGAAGATCACATTGAAAATATCACATATGTATTGAACTTGAGGATCACATTGAAAACATCACATATGTATCCAACATGAAGATCACATTGAAAATATCACATATGTATCCAACATGAAGATCACATTGAAAATATCACATATGTATTGAACTTGAAGATCACATTGAAAATATCACATATGTCTTGAACTTGAAGATCACAATGAAAATATCACAAATGTATTGTACTTGAAGATCACATTGAAAATATCACATATGTATTGAACATGAGGATGACTTTGAAAATATCACATATGTATCGAACATGAAGATCACATTGAAAATATCAAGTATGTATCGAACATAAAGGTGACATTGAAAATATCACATATGTATCTAACATTAAAATGACATTGAAAATATCACATATGTATCTAACATGGAGATCACATTGAAAATATCACATATGTATTGAACTTGAAGATCACATTGAAAATATCACATATGTATTGAACTTGAAGATGACATTGAAAATATCACATATGTATTGAACTTGAAGATCACATTGAAAACATCACATATGTATCCAACATGAAGATCACATTGAAAATATCACATATGTATTGAACTTGAAGATCACATTGAAAATATCACGTATGTATCGAACTTGAAGACCACATTGAAAAGATCACATATGTATCGAACTTGAAGATCACATTGAAAATATCACATATGTATTGAACTTGAAGATCACATTGAAAAGATCACGTATGTATCGAACATGAAACTGGAACAATATTCTTTGTATAAGGAACATTTCATGAACTGCCACTTCTAATTAACTGAAAATTCCATAATATTTCCTTCGATACGGTTCACACTACAGACGGAAATAGACCGTGAAATTGATGAAATCACCGTGTTTCATTTCATTCTGAAATGTAAACAATAGTTTTTTTCCAACAAACTGCAACACCACCATTCACAACAGTTACTATTTCAGGTCATCACTTTGATATATTAAATAACGATCTAAACACACCTTGTCGCAGACCTAGAAATATGATAACTGCGGATAATTGTCTCCCGCATGCAAACGAAATGATCAGCTGATCATGCTAAACAGGTCTGCTAGACGAACTATAATTGAAAAAGGCCTCCTAAAGTCGACAATGTACAGAAATAATAATGTAATTGATATTTTATTTCAGTTGATAATGCACATAATCCAGTAATATACACATATTTTTAAATATTCGCAGTTGAATAATTCATGTTCGAAAATGGGATATTTCTATATAATCTGGTACTGTTAAGTGCAACATTATTCGAGTCGGAAATATTGAAAATCAAATACAGTTTTCACTGTTTGAAGAAGAAATATCTCCGATAAATAGCAAAATCTCATCACAGGCCAAAAAGCTCATTGCTTTCGGACCAGGGGAGATTCTCTTTAATACTGAAACATTTGCAGGATAATCCCTGAAGACGCGATTTGTCATTTGTTTTTTTGTGGGTTTTTTGTTGTTGCGATTTTCGAATATTTATGTCTGAATGCGCGCAGGTAACCCTGAAGATGGGCAGGCAACACTAAGGGAGGCAACTCACCTGCCCGACTGTCTTGTTGGGTTTCAAAATTATGTTAAACACTGGCAATCAATAACAAGATAGAGATCAATGGCTGAGTTATCTATTTTATCATCCAAGTATAACATGGAAATCATAACAAATAATTATATAAATAATTAAATATACGAAAAACTCCCTACACTGTTGAAATATACGGACAGGGGGGAACCCTGTAACAGTGAGTGAGTGAGTTGGGTTTAACGCCGCTTTTAACATTATTCCAGTTATATCGCGGCGTGACAGCTTAATGTGGGAGGAAAGCCCAAAGTGATGCAGGTCTCAGACAATTACCGATTCGGTGAAACCCACGAGCACGGGTATGGTGATGACAAACCTAGAAACATAATCGGGACGAACCGGGTTTCGAACCCACAATCATAGGTTTCTAGCGTGCCCAAGGGACGCAACTCTGCACAGCGAATCGCGGCGCCTTAGACGACTGGGCCACTCGTCTGGTCACCGTAAAGGTCAGCTTCTTTCATCTGTGGTGAGGCTTCTGTCGGCGAGCCAGCTGAGACTTCTTTCGTGGCCTCTAGACAAAATAAAGATACATTAAGAAACTAATATCATGCTAATGTTAATTAATAAGCTAAGTTTGATAGGAACCTTATTCTACACTTATACGTACTTAATAAGAGAAAGATTGAAGTACCTGAAAAATAATATTGCCAAAAATTAATTACAATACAAATATTTGTCTAATAAATACATGCATAGAATGATATATCTAGATTACCGAGACCGAAACAAAAAAAACGTACCCTTTTTCATATCTGATATCCTGAGCTGGAGAAATTTGCTAATTTTCAGTAAAAGTGCAAGAAATGTAACATAACTTTGTATTGTATTGTTTGTTTGTTTGTTTGTTGTTTAACACCGCACTCAGCAATATCCCAGCTATATGACGGAGGTCTGTGAATAATCGAGTCTGGACGAGACAATCCAGTGATTGATGTCATGAGCATCGATCCACGAAATTGGGGTATGATGATAGGGAGCATGCCAGGCGCTGTCATGGAACCCCCAGGGAAAACGAAAAAGAGGACGGCCAAGAAACACCTGGCGACGGGACCTCGAGGCAGAGAGCAAGAAGATGGGACACACCTGGAAACAACTAGAGAGGGCAGCCCAGGACCGAGGACACTGGCGGACTGTTGTCGGCGGCCTATGCTTCGGGAGAAGCGATGGGCATAACTGAACTGACTGATGGAGAGCATGACCACTCGATCCCGTATTGTCGCCTCTTACGGCAAGCAAGGGTTCTGAAGACCTACTCTGTACCCGAATCGTCACGGGTCCTTCGTTTTGTAACCTTTACGTTTTACGCCTATAACTTGACATTTATTAACATAAAATCTAAAAAGAAGATAAACACACTATTTCACATTTTACATTATCATGTTACGGAAACAGATTTTTTTTAAATAAAAATTTTCTTGTCATGCTTTTCAAATGCTTATTGTTGACATGATATGGTTAAATATTGGACATACCTTGAGAACAAAGGGGCTTAGATGAGGTAAAATGTTAACACTGTTTTAAGAAGACAGTCGTCTGCAAGCTATCGTTGTTTCTCGCAGATTCTTGCCAAGCCACGCACGTGGCACACATCGATCACGGGTGATCGGCCTTCCAGTCCATCTATATTTGAGGTCCATGGTCCAGACAACGTCAGTCCGAATTTACTGATAAGACGGCGACCCTCTCAACACAGCTCTGACAATGAATGGGTTCAGGGTATTAATCATATTAAAACGAAAATATCATACCCGAAGATTTATTGATTTGGCGAGATGTCTGGATTAGCCAATAAATAAGAAATCAAACAACTTTTATTACACTTTTCAAACAAAGACCACACGATAATGATCTCCACTCCTGGCAACAATTCTTACGCTCCTGTTTTTACTGTAAACAGTTTAAATATCTTTTTAATGTTGCAAAAACTTTTTACTTTCTAAAATATTTGTGCAAAAATGATCATCCCCAACGACCGTCAGTGATCAGTGTTTGTTTGTTTGTCTGTTGTATAACGCCGCAAACAGCAATATTCCAGCTATATGGCGGTCTGTCAATAGTGGACCAAACCATCCAGTGATTGATATCATGATCCATTGGGATCACGGTAGTCGCTTCTTACGACAAGCATGGGTTGCTGAAGATCAATTCTAACCCGGATCTTCACAGGGGACATGCATGGGTTGCTGAAGACCTATTCTAACCCGGATCTTCACAGTGGACAAGCATGTGTTGCAGAAGACCTATTCCAACCGGATCTTCACAGGGGACAAGCATGTGTTGCTGAAGACCTATTCTAACCCGGATCTTCACAGGGGACAAGCATGGGTTGCTGAAGACCTATTCTAACCCGGATCTTCACAGTGCACAAGCATGTGTTGCAGAAGACCTATTCCAACCCGGATCTTCACAGGGGACAAGCATGGGTTGCTGAAGACCTATTCTAACCCGGATCTTCACAGTGGACAAGCATGGGTTGCTGAAGACCTATTCTAACCCGGATCTTCACAGGGGAAATGCATGGGTTGCTGAAGACCTATTCTAACCCGGATCTTCA